ACGACGTCTTCCTCAGACCACAGGCTCCTCCCCCCTCCGGTTTCTCCTCGCTCCCTCACTCCCCCCACCCCTCTTCTCCTCTTCACCAGACCCCATCCTCCCCCCAGATGTTCTCCCCGCCCTCCTCCCGCCCATCCTCGCCCTGGGACCCCTACAGTAAGGTAGCAGGAACTCCTCGCCCCACCTCCTCCCAGGCGGCCGGTCTCCCAGCTCCCCCCCAGCAGCAGCAGCAACGTCGCAACTCTCTCAGCGCCTCCCCGGCCCACGATGCCTTTGGTTCTCCTGCACCGTCCCCGGACTCTAAAACCTCAGACGTCTCCAGGACCCTCATACCCCAACCAGGTATTTCCTACTGTCTATCTTCTCCTCCTACTGTCTGTCGCCTCCTTGTTTTCTCCTCCTACTGTCTGTCGCCTCCTTGTTTTCTCCTCCTACTGTCTGTCTCCTCCTTGTTTTCTCCTACTAACTGTTTCCTCCTAGTTTTCTCCTCCTACTGTCTGTCTCCTCCTTGTTTTCTCCTACTAACTGTTTCCTCCTTGTTTTCTCCTCCTACTGTCTGTCTCCTCCTTGTTTTCTCCTACTAACTGTTTCCTCCTTGTTTTCTCCTCCTACTGTCTGTCTCCTCCTTGTTTTCTCCTCGTCACTGTTTCCTCCTTGTTTTCTCCTCCTACAGTCTGTCTCTTCCTTGTTTTCTCTACTGACTGTCTCCTCCTTGTTTTCTCCTCCCAGGACTGCAGCAGAGCAGAGCAGGTCTGATGAGCCCGTCCTCTGGTCCGGCCCCCGACCATGTAGTGAGACATGTTGGTATCCGCCCTGCTGAGAACTACCAGAGGACTTCCAGCTGCAACGTCCGCGTGGCGCCGGCCGATTTGTACGGCCGTCCCGGGGAACTGGTCCAGGGCGGGTTGTTTAAAGCTCCCATGCCCCCCCAGCAGCAGCCTCAACCGGAGGTGTTTGGCAGCGTGGGAGGAGGAGGAAGAAGGGACCCATCTAGACCCACAGACTTGGGCTTTGCTCTGCCCCAGTCGCAGGACCCCAACTTCCCCTCCAGTCCGCTCTCAGGACTGGGCTCCCCCCACTGCAGCCCCTACGCCCAGACGCCCGGCACCCCCAGACCCGACTACAGCCAGCAGGTCACCGACCCCTTCACCCAGCATTCACCTTTGACCTCCCGGCCTTCACCTGATCCCTACACTAACCCCCAGACCCCTGGTACGCCACGGCCGCACTCTGACCCCACATACCTCGCCACACCGCCGCTGAGACTGGACCAGTACAACCAGCAGTCTGTGAACCGCCGGCCGTCCCCCTCCCACACGAGCATCGACCCTTACTCTTCCACCCCGGGGACGCCCCGCCCCTCTGTCGCAGAGCGTTTCCCCCGATCACCGGGGAGTCAGCGGAGCGGTGACCCCTACACCCAGCCCGTCGGTACGCCACGGCCCTCGCCGGATCCCTACGCCCAGCAGCCCTCCACGCCGCGGCCCCAGAAGGCCCCCGAGCCCTTTAGCCAAGCACCAGTGGAGAGCTTCACTCCTCAGCCTGCAGGGTCCGGTTCCTCCCCAATGGCTCCGGGACTGTGTGGAGAGACCTTCACCCCGACTCACCACCAGGTACGATACTCCTCCTCCCCTCTGCCGCCTTTACCCGTCCTCACTGCTGGCGGCGCTCTCTCTAATGTCTCTCTTCAGTTGCAGCAGTCTCCAGGAAGACAACAACTACAGCAGGACTCATTTCCCAGAACCCCCGGCAGCCAGACCCCAAAGCACCCTGGGATGTTGGAGGAGAGCGGCTTCTCTGGTCTGGCGGGTCAGACTCCGGGTCACGACCACTTTGAGCAGGGTCACATGACGCCAGGCCTCTCACAGACGGACAAGACAACAGCCAATGAAATGGCAGCGTTGGGAGTGGCTTCTTTAGACGGACCAATGAGCATGCTGCCTCAGTTCGGTGACTCAGAGGAGAAGCTAAGACAGGTAAGACGGTTGTCTCACCTGTCTCCTCTCTCCTCTCTCCTCTTCTCCCTCCTCCTGACTCCTCCTGTTTCCTCCTCTCTCCTCCTGTCTACTCCTCCTGCCTCCACCCAGCTCCTCCTCCCTCCTCCTCTCTACTCCTCCTCCTCCCTCCTGACTCCTCCTCCTCCCTCCTGACTCCTCCTGTTTCCTCCCTCCTCCTCTCTCCTCCTCTCTCCTCCTCCACCCTCCTCCTCCCTCCTGACTCCACCTATGTGTTGCAGCGTCAGCGGCTCCGTCAGCTCCTCCTGAGGCAGCAGCAGCAGAAGAGTGCATTACGACAGGAGAAAGGTCTCCAGGAATCACCTCCTTCTGGTCCACCTGGACCAGGTTCTACCACACCACGCCACTGGACCCAGGAGGACTCCTCCACCCTTCCTCCCACAGACCCTTTTGGACGTCCCCCACCCCCTTACCCCGGCACGGTGAGGCCCGGTGGGGCTCCAGCCCCGAGGTTCCCGGGAGGTTTCCCAGGGGAGCAGCAGAGGGGCTTCACCCCCAATGAGGCTCCCCTCCCTAGGCAGAGCCTCGACAGAGAGGTGGGGGTCCGAGGACCCGTCCTCAGGTGAGGGGAGCAGCACACCTGTTACTGACCTGATCTGATCACCTGGGTTGTTTTACTCATCTCTCCTCCCCCCTGCTCCTGCTCCTCTCCTTCTATCTTCCATCTCCCTTCTCCTCTCCAGGTTCAGTGTTCCTTCAGGAGCTCCAGCGGGTCTCCAGGACTCGTTCTTGCGTCCTCCCCAGGGTTCAGTGCCTGGTTCTGGGCTCAGCGTGGTGGAGGGAGGCCCAGTCCAGATGAGGAGGCCGATGCCTGGAGAGTTCACCAGCATCCGACCCCTCACTGCTCCTGGTGCTCACATGATGCCGGGTCAGTGTTTATATATTGGTCATATTCCAGTCCAGCAGATATCTATTTACCAATCACCTCCCAATAGAAACTGTGACAGTACTTAATACTTAATATGATTTATTAAAGGTTATTAATACTTAATATAATTTATTAAAGGTTATTAAAGGTAATTAAAGGTTATTAAAGGTAATTAAAGGTAATTAAAGGTTATTAAAGGTTATTAAAGGATATTAAAGGTTATTAAAGGTAATTAAAGGCTATTAAAGATTATTAATGGTTATTAAAGGATGTTACAGGTTATTAAAGATTATTAATGGTTATTAAAGGTTATTAAAGGCAATTAAAGGTAATTAAAGGCAATTAAAGGATATTAGAGGTTATTAAAGGTAATTAAAGGCAATTAAAGGTTATTAAAGGATATTAATGGTTATTAAAGATAATTAAAGGTTATTAAAGGAAATTAAAGGATATTAATGGTTATTAAAGGTAATTATAGGCTATTACAGGCAATTAAAGGTTATTAAAGGATATCAAAGGTTATATTAAAGATAATTAAAGGTTATATTAAAGGTTATTAAAAGATATTAAAGGTAATTAAAGGTTATATTAAAGGATACTAAACTCAATTAAAGGTTATTAAAGGTAATAAACTGTATATATTTCCATTCAGTAGAGCACCAGCCTCCATTAACAGAACCTGTCTCTGTTGGTGTTTCTAATAATTACCGGCTCTGTTTTGGTGGATTAATAATAATGAATTATAAAATAATAATAATAATAATAATAATAATAATAATAATAATAATAATAATAAATAATAATAAATTCTCTCCCTCCCCAGGTGTCCCCCAGCCCTTCCTCCCGCGCTCCCTCCCCCTCCAACAGCACAGCATCATGGGACAGCCTTACATCGAGCTGCGACACCGAGCTCCTGAAAATCGGCTGAGGCTGCCCTTTTCTCTGCCCGCCACCCCGGACCCAGAGCCCGGCCCGGGGGGCCGGATGGGGGAGCAGATGGTGATGGAGCAGCTGAACCAGCAGCACCTCGGCCACACGGCGGCTCTGACGCAGAGCGGCGAGTCCACCCTCCCGGGGGCCGATGGAATAGAGGAGCACTTGGAGGGGGAGGACTCGGCCGTGAAGGATCTGGAGGACGTGGAGGTGAAAGATCTGGTGGACCTGAACCTGAACCTCGACCCAGAGGACGGTATGAACACGCGGGTCAATGTTGTTTCTCGGCACTGGATGAGTTTTGGTGTCAGTCTCACGGTCTCTGCTGTTTCAGGTAAAGAGGATCTGGATCTGGGCCCGAACGATCTCCACCTGGATGACTTCCTGCTGTCGGGGAAGTTCGACCTGATCGCCTACGCTGACCCCGAACTCAACCTGGAGGACAAGAAGGACATGTTCAACGAGGAGCTGGACCTGGGAGAGCCCATGGAGGAGGCGGGAGAGAGGAGGGACGGAGCTGGAGGGACCAGGAAGACAGACAGCTACCTGATAGGCCAGGTCAAACAGGAAGTACAGGACGATGCCAAGGCCGAAGCCAGAGACCCAGAGACCCAGAACCCCAACCCCCAAGCCGGGGTCAGCACCGCCAACAGAACCCCCAGACCTCCAGGAGCCGAGACAGCCGGCTCCAACCAGCCTGGCTCCTCCACTGCCCTCAGCAAGGTGCTTATTAATCAATCATTATTAATCAATATTAATCAATATACATTAAACAGATAATCAATAATGTGATAGAGCAAGAAATATAATCAACAGCTCCCTCCCTCCCTCCCTCCGTTTCCCTCCTCCCTCCCAGGTGGAGGACTCTGCTTCTGATCCAGGGGCACTGCCAGCTCTCCAGGCCCAAGAACAGGCTCCATCATCAGGCATGGCTCCCAGGGTTCACCCCCCCATGACTGGAGGTAAACAGATACTGATATTGATTAGGATTTCTGTTTGATTATTGATAGATTATTGATCTGTTTTTATTGAACTTAAGAGCAGCTAGAGTTTAACCACTCTCTCTCCTCCTCTTTTCCCCTGTCTCCTCCTCTCTCCTCCCCCTCTCCCTTGTCTCCTCTCTCCTCCTCCTCCTCTCTCCTGTCTCCTCCTCCTTCTCCTCTCCCCTGTCTCCTCCTCTCCCGTCTCCTCATCCCTCCTCCTCTCCCCTGTCTCCTCCTCCTCCCTCCTCCTCCTCCTCTAGGTCAACCATCAGTCTTCCAGCAGCTGCAGAGACCATTTGGACCCTCCTCGTCTCCTTCGGCTCTGTTCTCCTCCCATCCTCAGGGTCTCCTGCACCCTCCACTGTCCCTCCAACCCCCCCAGCCGCGCCTCCTCCTCAGCCCCCAGACCCAGTCTCTACACCCAGGGACCTCCCCCCAGAGCCAGGCTGTCTTCCCCCAGGACCAGGACCAGGACCAGGACCAGAGCAAGCACAGGCCCCTGCTCTTGGAGGAGCAGCCACTTCTCCTGCAGGACCTTCTAGACCAGGAGCGGCAGGAGCAGCAGCAGCAGAAACAGATGCAGGCCCTGATCCGACAGAGGTCCACCCCAGAGTCTGTGGTACCCAACATCGGTAAGACCTGAACAGCTCCTGATCCTGAAGGTCTTTAGCTCGTTAAAGGACCTCACAATACAAAATGGCCAACTTACTGTTAGGGTTGTTGTTGTTCTGGATGTGATCAGCAGGTGTGTGTGTCTGTGTGTGTGTGTGTGTGTGTGTGTGTGTGTGTGTGTGTGTGTGTGTGTGTGTGTGTGTGTGTGTGTGTGTGTCTGTGTGTGTGTGTGTCTGTGTGTGTCTGTGTGTTTTCAGCAGACTTTGACACCATCTCTGACCCCATCATGAAGGCCAAGATGGTGGCTCTGAAGGGCATCAACAAGGTCATGACCCAGGGCAACCTGGGACTCAACCCCATGGTCATCAACAGGTACGGTGACCTCTGACCTCTGCGTTTGCATACATACGTGGACCTGGTGCAGATTACAGATCATTATCAAATATTCTGCCACAGAAACAGATTAAACACACAGTGTGTGTGTGTGTGTGTCTGTGTGTGTGTGTGCCAGGTTCCAGCAGGCTCCAGTAACTCAGGTGGCCCAGGTGGCCCAGGTGGCCCCGGTGGCCCCGGTGGCCCCGGTGGCCCAGGTGGCCCAGGTGGCCCCGGGTCCAGAGGGGCCTCCTCAGCCTCCACAGCTGGTGGGACAGGTGTGTAGATCACTGATCAATAATAATTCTTATGATAATCGATGTGATGGACTCATGGAGTTTGGATTCAGACAGGAAGTGTTTTCTCTTCCTGTCAGGACGGGAAGTTGAACCCCCAGCTGGTGCGACCCAACCCCCCCAGCTTCGGCCCGGGCTTCGTCAGTGAGTATGAGAGCTGTGGAGACTCAAGCAGTCCCTGTGAGACCTGATAACAAGTGTTTGCGTATTGTTGTAGTAGAACCCAGGAAGGAACACATAGTAGAACCCAGGAAGGAAGACTAGTAGAACCCAGGGAGGAACACTAATAGAACCCAGGAAGGAACACTAGTAGAACCCAGGGAGGAACACTAATAGAACCCAGGAAGCAACCCTAGTAGAACCCAGGAAGGAACACATAGTAGAACCCAGGAAGGAACACTAGTAGAACCCAGGGAGGAACACTAGTAGAACCCAGGAAGGAACACTAGTAGAACCCAGGAAGGAACACATAGTAGAACCCAGGGAGAAACACTAGTAGAACCCAGGAAGGAACACTAATAGAACCCAGGAAGGAACACATAGTAGAACCCAGGGAGAAACACTAGTAGAACCCAGGAAGGAACACTAATAGAACCCAGGAAGGAACACATAGTAGAACCCAGGAAGGAACACATAGTAGAACCCAGGAAGGAACACTAGTAGAACCCAGGAAGGAACACATAGTAGAACCCAGGGAGGAACACTAGTAGAACCCAGGGAGGAACACATAGTAGAACCCAGGGAGGAACACTAGTAGAACCCAGGGAGGAACACATAGTAGAACCCAGGGAGGAACACTAGTAGAACCCAGGAAGGAACACTATTAGAACCCAGGAAGGAACACTAATAGAACCCAGGAAGGAACACTAGTAGAACCCAGGGAGGAACACTAGTAGAACCCAGGGAGGAACACTAGTAGAACCCAGGGAGGAACACTAATATAACCCAGGAAGGAACACTAGTAGAACCCAGGAAGGAACACTAGTAGAACCCAGGAAGGAACAATAATAGAAACCAGGAAGGAACACATAGTAGAACCCAGGAAGGAACACATAGTAGAACCCAGGGAGGAACACTAATAGAACCCAGGAAGGAACACTAGTAGAACCCAGGGAGGAACACTAATAGAACCCAGGAAGCAACCCTAGTAGAACCCAGGAAGGAACACATAGTAGAACCCAGGAAGGAACACTAGTAGAACCCAGGGAGGAACACTAGTAGAACCCAGGAAGGAACACTAGTAGAACCCAGGAAGGAACACATAGTAGAACCCAGGGAGAAACACTAGTAGAACCCAGGAAGGAACACTAATAGAACCCAGGAAGGAACACATAGTAGAACCCAGGGAGAAACACTAGTAGAACCCAGGAAGGAACACTAATAGAACCCAGGAAGGAACACATAGTAGAACCCAGGAAGGAACACATAGTAGACCCCAGGAAGGAACACTAGTAGAACCCAGGAAGGAACACATAGTAGAACCCAGGGAGGAACACTAGTAGAACCCAGGGAGGAACACATAGTAGAACCCAGGGAGGAACACTAGTAGAACCCAGGGAGGAACACATAGTAGAACCCAGGGAGGAACACTAGTAGAACCCAGGAAGGAACACTATTAGAACCCAGGAAGGAACACTAATAGAACCCAGGAAGGAACACATAGTAGAACCCAGGGAGGAACACTAGTAGAACCCAGGGAGGAACACTAGTAGAACCCAGGGAGGAACACTAATATAACCCAGGAAGGAACACTAGTAGAACCCAGGAAGGAACACTAGTAGAACCCAGGAAGGAACAATAATAGAAACCAGGAAGGAACACATAGTAGAACCCAGGAAGGAACACATAGTAGAACCCAGGAAGGAACACTAATAGAACCCAGGAAGGAACACATAGTAGAACCCAGGGAGGAGCACATAGTAGAACCCATGGAGGAACACTAATAGAACCCAGGGAGGAACACATAGTAGAACCCAGGGAGGAACACTAGTAGAACCCAGGGAGGAACACTAGTAGAACCCAGGAAGGAACACTAATAGAACCCAGGAAGGAACACATAGTAGAACCCAGGAAGGAACACATAGTAGAACCCAGGGAGGAACACATAGTAGAACCCAGGAAGGAACACTAGTAGAACCCAGGAAGGAACACTAGTAGAACCCAGGAAGGAACACATAGTAGAACCCAGGGAGGAACACTAGTAGAACCCAGGGAGGAACACTAGTAGAACCCAGGGAGGAACACATAGTAGAACCCAGGGAGGAACACTAGTAGAACCCAGGAAGGAACACATAGTAGAACCCAGGGAGGAACACTAGTAGAACCCAGGGAGGAACACATAGTAGAACCCAGGGAGGAACACTAGTAGAACCCAGGAAGGAACACTAGTAGAATCCAGGAAGGAACACTAGTAGAACCCAGGAAGGAACACTAATAAAACCCAGGAAGGAACACTAGTAGAACCCAGGGAGGAACACATAGTAGAACCCAGGGAGGAACACATAGTAGAACCGGACATTGACTATGTACTGAGACACGATATATAAGCACTGTTCTATAAACCCGTCTGTCTCCTGCAGACGAGTCTCAGCGGCGTCAGTACGAGGAGTGGTTGGGGGAGACGCAGCAGCTCCTACAGATGCAGCAGCGCCTCCTGGAGGATCAGATCGCCGCTCACCGCAAGTCCAAGAAATCCCTGTCGGCCAAACAGCGGACGGCCAAGAAGGCTGGCCGACCCTTCGCAGAGGAGGACGCCGCCCAGCTCCGCCACATCACCGAGCAGCAGGGGACGGTCCAGAAACAGCTGGAGCAGGTACGACCACAACATTGATTCTACATCCTGGAGTCTGTGGGGCAGCGTACGGGGTTTAGCTAACGCTGATGGAGGAACTGTGTCTAAGAGGGATGTTCAGATCTCAGGTGATGTTTGTTTGTATGTTCAGATCCGGAAGCAGCAGAAGGATCATGCGGAGCTGATCGAGGACTACAGGACCAAGCAGCAGCAGCAGAGAGCCCTGCAGCAACCGGCCGCCCCCCCCATGATGCCTGCAGGAGCCCCCCCCATTCCACAGACGCTCCTCTCCCAGCCCATGGTGTCCATGCAGCCCCACCCGGCTGGTGCCACGCCGTCCAGAGTTCAAAATGTCCCCCCTGGTTGGACCCCAGGGGGCGTGGCCCCGGGGGTCATTGCACAGAGAATGCCGCCACACCTGCCCCCTCAGATGCCCCCTGCCCTGCCTAACACCCCCCAGACTCGCCCACACACCCAGACTCCCCCAGCCATGGTTCCCAGCCTCACTGCTCCGACAGCGGGCTTCACCACAGGCCCCAGGGGCCCCGCTGGAGGGCCCAATGGAGCAGCAGGGGACGGAGCCGCCCCCCCTCGTCAGGTAACACACCTGGAACCAATCAGAGCATTTGCACCAGTGGCCTTCATCTTATATCTCCTTTAATACTAGGACTGGTCCCAACCATCAGCTATTATTATATATTAATGATCTAAAGTATTGATTATAATATCTGTTTCTGATATCACCGTATTGATTATAATATCTGTTTCTGATATCGCCGTATTGATTATAATATCTGTTTCTGATATCGCCGTATTGATTATAATATCTGTTTCTGATATCACTGTATTGATTATAACCTGTTAACCAGCAGTAACACAGTGTAACATCTCACAGTCTGGTTGTTCAATAACTTCCAACTGATCCTGGCTGATCGATACGATGGATGATTGATAGCGTTAACAGTTACTGACTAATTAACTGGCTACAAACTGGCTCCTCTTCCTCCGTTTCTTCCTCTCCTGTCGCTGCCTGAACCCGCTGACGTTTAGGACCGTTTGTATTTCCTAGAACACCGTTGTGTACCGTTGACTTAAGCGCCCACCTGCTGGTACGGTGCTGTTGGTTTTCATTCAGCGTTCTTGTGTGTTCCGAAATATTTTATAAAACAAAGATCATGTTGACAAGAGGCTGCTGCTAATGTTAGCTGCTAACGCTAGCTGCTAAAATCCTAAAATCCTTCATCCGGTTTAAATCTCGAGTTATAAGCACCAAGATCTAAACAGTGGATGGTAAATGTGGCTTCAGACTGGATAAAAAGGAGATCTGCCTCCAGAATTCAGGAATGTGTTTGTCCTTTATTTTGAAAGGTCAAAGTAGGATACAGCCACAGAGGTCATTACTGTAGATAAAGTGGAGCTGACAGATTTCTGTCTCGATGACCTGCAGGTGAACTTTGATGACAACAACCCGTTCAGCGAGGGTTTCCAGGAGAGGGAGAGGAGGGAGAGGCTGAGGGAGCAGCAGGAGAGGCAGAGAGTTCAGCTCATGCAGGAGGTAAACGTCCCGCTGCCAGCAGCCAGAGGACCGCAGACACAGACACACCTCTAATCTCTTCTCTCCTCCTCCCAGGTGGAGCGCCATCGAGCCTTGCAGCAGAGACTGGAGCTGGAGCAGCAAGGCCTCCTGGGAGCCTCAATGGGTCCTGGAGCCGGAGCTCTGTCGGGGGCTCGAGTCGGGCAGACACCAGGACCTGGGGGTCCTGCTGGGTCAGCACCTGTCTCAGGAGGGGACGGTCTCTCCCAGATGCCTTTCTTCAGTTCTGAACTGCCTCAGGACTTCCTCCAGTCCCCCCCGGCCTCCAGACCTCCCCCACAGCACCAGGGCCAGACGGGGGCGTTCCCCCAACAGGCAGGCCTCCACCAGGGCTTCCCAGGAGGACCCCTGCACCCGGGACCTCATCCGGCTCCAGGTCTGCAGTCTGGGGCCACAGCTGAGCACGGCATCGTGGATCTGGGTCCTTCAAACTTCCAAACCAGACCCAGGTTCTCAGGCCCCACCGGGCCCTCGGGGGCCCAGGGACCGGTACGGCCGGCAGGAATGACCCCCTCCAATCCTGGTCAGACTCATCGATACGGACACGACTCCTCCTCTTCTTCCCCCTCTACCCCCTTCCCCCCCTCCTTCCCCTGCTCCTCCTCTGGCCCCGCCTCCCTCGCCCAGCTCTACTCTGACATAATCCCTGACGACAAACCAAAGAAGAAGAGGAGCAGGAAGAGGGACGGGGACGATGGTGGAGGAGGAGCCAGGACGCCGCTGTCCTCGCACTCTGATGATATCACAGCTCCGCCCACTCCTGCTGTCTCAGACACTTCCTGCTCCACGCCCACTCGGGGCAGCATGGACCAATCAGATCTGTCCTTCTCTCTAAGCTCCTCCCTATGCGCTCTGGCTCCGTCGTCGGAGTTGGAGAGGCAGCTGTCCGTCCTCTCCGCAGCCCAGCAGAGAGGCTCCGTCCTGGGCATGGAGTCTCTGAGAGGTCCCCTGTCTGCAGCTCGTCTGGAGGTCAAGGTCAGAGGTCAGACACAATCAATAATAATGTTTGTGTGTCAGCTCAGGGTTTGAGTTTTGTGTCCTGGTGTTCCCTGCAGGAGGAGCGTGAGGAGGGAAGTGCGTGTGGGGGAGGCGTGGTGAAGATGGAAGACGGTGGAGTTGGGGGATTCTCCTCCCCCTCTCCTCTCCATGGGGGTGACGGAGGGAAGGAGCTGCTCAGACACCTGCTGAAGGACAAGACGTCCCCGGCTGCCACGCCATCACCCACCGGCCAAGCCCCGCCCTCCGCCCGCCGCCAGCTGTCCAATGAGAGCGCCCGGTCTGAGGAGGAGGACAGACCTGGTTCCCATGGAAACATGGTGAGGAGGGGGTTAACGTTAAAAGACTTGATGTGAACAGTGAGCTCTCTGTAGGAAGTTCTAGTCCACACAGTTTGAAGCTTTCGCTCAGTGATCCTCCTGTTACCACGGTTACCTCTGTCCTCCAGGTGAGCAGTCCAGACCTCCTGGACTCCTCCGGCAGAAAGAAGACAACTCAGCGTTGCAAGAGACCAGCTCGGCCGGAGAAAGACCGAGCTCCTCCTAAAAACAAGAGGAGGAAGAAAGAGGAGGAGGAGAAGACGCTTCACTCCTCCACCATCTCCTCCTCGGACCAGCTGACTCACCTCACACAGGTAGACCGACAGCACCTCCCTGCTCCTCCTCGTCAGTCTCTGTTGTCTTTAAAACAGTGACGTGATTCAGTGATTATTAGAATAGCTGATTAATTAATCCCCCTCTCTCCCCCAGCTGACTGTGCTGCCCCTCATGGAGCCGGTTCTCGGGGTGGACCTGAGTCTGTTCCCCCCGTACGGCAGCTCCTCTCTCGGCAGAGACTCCAGACTCTCCGGCTCCTTCGGAAATGCCTGCCTGGATGGAGTCACAGACTACTACTCCCAGCTTATATACAAGGTACTGCAGCTCATACAGCAGCTCATAAAGCAGGTAGTGCAGCTCATACAGCAGCTCATACCGCAGGTAGTGCAGCTCATACAGCAGGTAGTGCAGCTCATACAGCAGGTAGTGCAGCTCATACAGCAG